CCCCGCCCGCCCACCCGCCCTCCTCAGCCACATAAGTCCCAGTGGGACTCCAGTCGGGGTCTGTCATGTTGGACATGGGGCGTCCCTTGGAGCCCTGCAGGAGGCAGGAATTCGCCCAGGAACCGTTCCCATTCTTGCCCGGCGCTTTATGAACCAAGCTCACAGCTGGGCCCCGGGCTGACCTGCCCGGGCGTGGGGCAGGGAATTCCCAGTGGCCGGTGTCTCGCCCTGCCAGAGTCCTTACCTCCCTTCCAAAGGTGAGCGCCCCGTCCTGCCCTTGCGTCCCTTGGAGCCCTGCAGGAGGCAGGAATTCGCCCAGGAACCGTTCCCATTCTTGCCCGGCGCTTTATGAACCAAGCTCACAGCTGGGCCCCGGGCTGACCTGCCCGGGCGTGGGGCAGGGAATTCCCAGTGGCCGGTGTCTCGCCCTGCCAGAGTCCTTACCTCCCTTCCAAAGGTGAGCGCCCCGTCCTGCCCTTGCCCTGTGGGAGGGGCAGGGCGGGATTCGATTCCCAGGATGGCCAGGGCATTGCCGTCGGCATTGCCGTGCGTGGTGAGGAGCCGGCAGGCCAGCGAAAGCCCCCGCTCACGTTGTGCTCTTGTTTCAGACGCTGTACAACTCCATCAAGAACGAGAAGCTGGAGTGGGCCATGTGAGTACCCCGGAGATGCCCTGGGTGGCTCTTGCAAAGCAGCTGGCGGCCCTGGGAGCTTGTGCTTAGCCGGAGAACCTCAGGGCCGTGCGGCACTACCCAAGCCCTTTTCCCACAGAGCTGCTCCCCTGGCTCTTCGGGAGAGACCCGTTTTCAGCCTGCCCCATTCCCCTCCTGCTCACTCTCCCAGGCTGGTTTATTACCAGCGGTGGTGCTGGTGTTAATGAGGCACCTGCCTCGGTATCAGGAACGGGCCTGAGACGCCTGAGTCATTTCAGAAGGGGGCCATCAGGTGATAAGGACTAGTGGTCACTACCGGCCAGAGCCAAGATGCTCACGAGTGACTTGTGGCTAAAGGGTTCCAGTTACCAATGCCAGCGGCAGGGGCCCTGCGCTAGTGAATGCGTCGACTGGCTTGATTGTTCCTGGAAAGCGATTGGGCGAGGAATAGCGCCGGGGGAATCATGGATATTTTGGTTCGCTGGCCATTTCAAAAAGTTGGGGGCGGGGGAATCATTATGCCTGAGAAAAGATATTTTTAAAAAATGGTGAATTGAAAAGTAGTGTGGGGGGGGAGGGGGCATTGTTTGGGGGATGAACAAAAAATGTTGTTTGGATTGGACCATTTTTCATATCGTATATATAGTAACGCCGGAATGCCGGCTGTTCCCTCTGAGCGGCCCGTGCTGCATGGGGCGTGCGGGGCCCAAACGACCGCTTGCGCCGCTTGGTCCTCCGCGGGGACCCGGCTGAGCGGCGCACAAGTCAGCCGAGTGCCATGGCGGGAGGCAAAGGGGGAGGGGGCGGCGACGTGCGGCGTGACAGCGGCTCCAGGCCCCACCCCCGGCCGTGAACGTCACCAC